CATTATGGCAGAGACCCCGTCACACAACTTGCAGCTCATGGACTTCTGCGCTCAGTACGCCGTGGACTGTACTATCAAGGCCCTTGCTAACGACATGGGGCTCGCCTGTCCGGATCCTGTGACACACGTGATACCCGAGTATTTTCAGGCGGAGCTTCGCATGCTTGCTTTCCGCTCCGCAAAAGCGATGCAGAATCGAAGTAAGCGCGCTATTATACATAGACCCTTCTGTGGACCTTGACCCTCCCACTTCAAAAAGAACGCGTTCCTTGGGATCTGCTGACATACAGCGCCGCCGTTGGGGGCCAAGACGGCAACAACGCCGAGTTCGAGGCAGCTCTGATGGAGAAGTTCCGGCCTGCGGACCTGAAGGAAGCAATCACCGACGCCTGTCTGCTTGAAGATGTCGATGGAGTCATGCTATGTGCATATCTGCCCGATGCAATGACTGTGCAGCGCCAGGTAAACCCTGCCTCAGGGAAACACGTTAACCAGCAAGTCGCTAACTATATCCGGTGAAGGACCAAATCGCCGATCTTACCCAGCGGCTGCTTGGGCCGGCGCTTGAGGCGCACCCTCCGAAAACCGCCGTCCCAAATTCCACGAAGGATCCCTCCCGCGCATGGCGCAGCTCTGAGACACTCTTCGCTGTCCAGGACAGGCCCCTCATATTTGGCAGAGGGTCGACTACCCTGTCCCCAGGATGGTATGCGCAGGGCTTTGACCAGGGGTTGGAGGTAAAGGAACATTCTCATCCCATAATTCGTTAACGTTGTTGACAAAAGCCAGGGGCTCAGCGATCGCCTCCATGTATCCAGCGACCTCGGCCCGGCACCCGGAAAACGTCCCAGCCAAAGGCAACTGGCCGCTCAGGCTTGGGTTGCTGGGAATGTGGAGTTGGGTTTCTTGATATCCGCGGCATTGGCCGTTCTGCATCCTGAACAGTACAGGATTACGAGGGATGCTCTGGCAGAGCTCTCAATGCGCGATCACTTTGCAGATCATGTTGAGAACTGGACCTTCGCTTTCAACGTGGTCACCGTCATCGCAAACCGCGTTACCCCCCTCCATCGCGATCGCGCGAGCGGCGCCAAGGAGTTGTTCGACGCATTACTCAGCATCGGGGGTGGGGCCCGCACAGCCTTGGTTCTGCCGGGCTTGGGCGCTAGGCTTCAGTACGACTCTGGGACACTAGTATTTCTTCAAGGTTCCATTCACCCACACCAGGTCTCGCCATTCGACTACGAACGGCTCTGCGTTGCTTGCTATGCTCGCCCGGCCGTTCTCCGGGCACTCGATCAGCGCCATCCCCGGGCGCCGTATACCGCCGACACAATGCCGAGAGGCTGGTACGAGATGCTGGGCGGTGGGCGGGACGGAGGTCCAATGTAGCGCGGAAATGAGGCCAAGCTTTGGAACTAGATTCACTGTAGAGTAGCTACAACGACGTTCTCAACCTCTGCATTAAACGCCGCCTTTGCTTTCGCAGCTAGATCCAACCAAGCGTGTCTTGTCTCAAGCGCATGGGCGCGGTGGCCGGCGTAGGGGTCATGCTGCCCTTCCGGCGTTGTGGGCAGGCGGCGATATTTCTCTTCCCACGCGTCGGCCAAAGCACGATATCCGAGATAGCAGGTCTGCATCTCTCCTTCCAGCATGAAAACCTCTTCCTCGCAGCGAACGTACGAGCACCGCGCGTTGATCCAGCGCGTTCTGAAAACTAAAATGTGCTTGGGTTAGAGGAATAGTCTGCCGAATTAGACTTTACTGACAGGCGCCAATGAATGTGTCGTCGTCTAGCACCTCGTCTCCGCCTTCGTTATCGCATGAACCGACTGGGCGGTTGCTACGGAAGGTCCTCCAAAACCACGGTAGCTGAAACTTTCCTTGTGTGCGGGTATTGTTGTACATGTCGTACGTAGCAGTCGTGCATTTGATGTCGTCCGCGGTTATAGGCCGGTACTTGGCTAAGATGCTGTTTTTCCTGTTCTGGGCCTCTTCGCTGTCGTCCCAGAATAAACGAGCCAGTCTTTTCGCGCCATGGTTGTATATCGATGCATGCACTCGCACGTCCTTGTTCTGTTGGCGCGTGTGTAGCCAGGCGCGGCTGCGGGCGACGTAGTTATTAGAATTTTTCCCCTTACTCTTGTTTTGTCGAAGCTGCAGTCTATACGACTGTGCCTGATCGACGACACCTTCCATCACCGATTGAATACGGGCATCTAGCCTGGCCATACGCAATTCCAGTTCCGCATCCATGGCGCGGCGCTCGAGCGCTGTCGTCCGGTCTTTGCTTCGGCGCTCATCCGGTCGAGACGAAAGGGTATCCACGGGCTTGAACTCCGCGAGCGGTCGAAGATTGTACCCGTGACCAGTGTGTTCGTCTGTATCCCACTCATCCTCAGGGAGAATCCTGCTCAGTTTGGGGGAGAGAAGGTCCTCGTCTACAAGACGTTCTCCACCCAACATGGCCTGCATCTCCTGGTTCGCCTTTGTGCGACGGTTGTCAAATCTTGAGCGCGCAATTGCAGCAGTTCTGCGTTCAGATGCGGACGTTCCCCACTCGCTCCCTCGCGCCTGCATCTTAAGTCTGCTCCCTGTCGTCAGAGCCGGTCCCGATCGTGTGCTTCACAGCTACGCACCCATCTTCCTCGAGATCCAGACTAGTGATGATCGATCGAACAATCGAAGTTGCTGGGCTGGATCGAGTTTCCTCCTCAATAAGACGGGCCTCCACATCTTTCGAATCCGGCCCTGTGCTGGGTATCAGTTCCTGATTTTATCCCTCCACCATCAACCTTGCCTTGAACAATAGCGTCTTCCCAGAAGTCATCCGCAAAGTAGGGGTCTTCAACACGCTTCTTCTCCAATAGTTTTCGTTCTGCCTCCCAACGACCCATGTCTCCATCGTCACAAGACAGCCCAAGCCTCTTACAATGCGCGCTTCGATCGAGCAACTCTTGTGAATACTTTCGGTGCTTGCGGACGAGCGTTTCGACTGATGATGGGCTTGTGAGCTTCGACAATGTCAGCAATAGGTGTAAGGCTCACCCATCCTGATAATCTTGCCATGATTGACGTCGTTCATGTGCAAGTTAATCTTCTCCTCTCGTGCGGCTAGCGACATCCCTCTGCAGGACTGCAATATGGCATTCAGCAAGGCCCAGAGCGTCTCCAATATCTCGCCGTCAACAATGCCTGCGCGGGGAGAGTAAACTGGCGCATATCGCCGATAACAATCGAAGACATGGCCGTATATGTGCCAGACACCTACGCCCTGTAGGAGTTCACGAAAGTCTGGCCACTCTAACCTGCTGTGGTGAAACCGCCTTTTCAAATGGACACCGTAGCGGCACCAGATATCGTACAGTAGTTGCGCTCTCCTGATGCCGCCGGTGATGGTGTGCTCGAACGCTTTGCTTAAGCTCAGATCAACAGGATGTGAGCTGGCGTCTCCGTTAGGTAGCCCTCTAATGCGAGTCAGGGGATATGGCACATACGCTTCCCCTAAATCAAAGTTATTCGTGCCATTGGCGCAGAGACAGCCGTGTCTGGAACAGGCCCATGATCCAATTCCCTTGATATCCACGACTTTGCTGCGAATTTTCCCGACGTTCGCTGCAGCACGATGCTGGTGACACGGACGTTCTTCCTTGTCCTACAATCGTTCAGCACTCATTTCTCAATGTTTCGAAAGACAGACCAGGTCTGGTAGGATTCTCTTCAAGGCCTTGTCGTCCACAGCGTGCTTCATGTGCTCCGCTACGATGTCCGGGTGGTTGAAAAAGCCAGTACCAGCATAGAAGGGCACATTATTTCCTGGGCGTTTCGATATGGTATGGTCTCCGCTAAAGTTCCCGTCATAACACATTGACACAAAGAGGCGCCACTCGTCGGGGTCTTCTTCCCATTTTCGCGGAACATTATTGAACTCGAGCGTCTTGCGAGGGCAGACGATGCACTTCCAGACTAATCCACCGGGAGGCGGGTCTTTCCATGTTGTCAACGGTTGGGTCGCATACCCAAAGTCTATGAGATTTTGAACTGCGCTGTACTGCCGAGAAACGAGGTTCAACTCGTGGTAACGGTTCTGCAAAGTGCGCCTTAGACTTGGTGCCGCTCTTGAATGAAATCGGGAACTTACAGGGGCAAGTCTCGGCTCGTGAGGCTCGGTACAGCGACGAAGTTTGCGCATATGCGCCAAGGAGGACGTCTTACACACGACATCGTCGACGAGCCGGTGCTCTAGGCCTTGGAGAGTGAAGGCTGTGGCAGGATCCTCCTGTGAAGCAGGAAACAGCCCGCCATACTGCAGCAATTGCTCATGCGCAGCTGGGGCGCCTGGGCACCTGCAAAACGAGACGCCGACGCCGTGTATACTGTCGGTGTGCACGACGATGATGGTTTTGAAGCCGTACATATCTTTTGTGGGGATTGCGGACTTGCCAGCTTGGCGAACTACTCCTGGCTCGCCGGCATCTCCAACCGGCATCTCGTGGCCGCCTTCTACATCGCCATCATCGGCCGGTCCTAGAGGCTGGAATTCGTCCGCCTCAGTCGGGCCTGGCAGCACCTCAGTTCCCTCCAGTTCCCCCTCATCCAATCCCCTGACAAATGTCTGGCGATTGACCTCGTCATCCACGTCCGGCGCAGTCCACATATCGCCGGGTACAGCGCCCGACATGGCGCCTCCTCCTGTCGGCCGAGCAGGAGCAGAGAAGCCGCCGTACGCCGGCGGCTCTCCGGCATCCAGCGCCGCGAAGTCGGGGACGCGCTTAGCACCGTGTGGGCAGTCGCCCTTTGCATCTGCGTTCGGACACAGACGCACAGAGACCCCGGCGTCTCGCAACCAAGCCTTTCTGTAATGTTGACCGGTCCACCAGCCGACAAGATGGTAAGGATTCCTCCAATGATGGTCACGTAAGCATCCAGTGCAGAAATCCCTAAGGACTACACAGTGGGCGCATCTCCACCTCCCCACCCCATCTCTACCGCAGCTACTGCAATGAAGATTCTTCGGCGGCGCGTATCGAAAGGCAAGAATAAGGTGCGAATAGGCCCTGGCCAGCTTTTGGCGATTGAAACTTTGCATATAGTCAACATATGTCTTTATAGACCTCATCAGCAATGTCAGATGGTAGGAACCGAATATGAAGCTGACCTTGCCCTGGCTTGTGGGCTCGTCCACACGTTCTCTGGCAAGTCGCTCAACGTCGTCATCGTTCAGCGGAAAGCCGTGTGCGTTGACTATAACTTCTGGACTAAGATTATCCAGCACCCCAGCAAAAGTCTCCCTCGGTGCTGAGGAGACGCTCGAAACGCCGGCCTGCTGCTGTTGGCCGCCGCGATGGAGCTGTGTAGGACTCCCTTTACGTTTGATGGAGCGACCGTCTGCCTTCTGCCACACATCTCCGCCATCTCCAAAATCTGGTTCATACTCCACCGTCTTGCGTTTTTTCGCAGGGCGAGGAAAAGCAGCTGCTGCTAGCCTATCTCCTGGGGTTCTGGTGCCATGGCGAATGGCTGACGAATGAATTAGATTCCGAGTGTTGTGTGAACTGCTAAAGTTGTAGCTGCTGTCAGCCATGTTGGTTGTGCAGGCCTTTCTAGAGGGGAGATGGCTGTTAGTGACAAGCCTGTAACCCACGTGTGAGGAAGAGAGCGTCTGGAGCGGTGGATCGCCTGCGCCATTGTTGATGCCGATGAAACATTGATGGGTATGTCCCATATGGGTAGATACGTATAGCAATACAAATACTTATTCCGAGACACCGGGTCCGACAAAATATACATTCATGCATTTGAACATGACCGGTAAGGCACCGGGATTCAATCATTACGTCAATCCGAAGAGTCCAGGTCATCCCTCCATAGCTTCCTGAATGGACCATCCATATTCGCTGGAATCCCGAGTTTCACGCGCGCAAGGTGGTAGTTGCCATCGTTCTGGCAGCGCGGGAGACGCCCCTGCCCCCCCCTGTGAGCTTCGTTCAAAGCTTCAGGACCGAGGTCCCCTGCAGCTAATATCTGATATATACATATGTGAATCAGTACACTTCTCAATCGTGAATCTATGTGGCCATACCTCAGTATAAGCAGTATGCAGAACGGCATTCAGCGCGTGCTCTACCCTTCCACCCTTCTCGAGGAAGAAATGCATGGCCTGGGCTCCGAAATAATCAGAGGTTATCACTTGGCCCATTACAGCTGCAGGGCGTGGGATCAAGTTGCTCTTCGCGAGCTCTGCAATCCCGTCCAAGACGGCAGCGTATCCCCTGATGAATGTCGCGTACACGCCCGCATCACGAATAGACACAGGGATGAACTCCATGAACGGTATGACCTCCAATGTGAATGCTTTGTACATTCGGGTACGCCCACGTATCTCGTCCGGGCGAAGTCCCACCATCTCTTGCCGCACTGCTTCTGCAGCAGCATGGGCACAGCCTATAAAGCGTTCGAGGTTAGGGTCCTGTCGCCAATTGCATGGTTATGCAGACGCACGGTGGATCTGGTGAAGCATGATGGGTGAGAGCCAACCTCCCGAGCAACGGCCACAGGTGCATCCACCTGTCGGTCGCTCATCTCTGGAACTGTGTTGCGCCGTCGACTCAAGTTCCACACAGTCGTCGTTACGGGAACGGGATGTAACTACGTCTGCAGAGTCGCCTTGTGATGCAGCACGTTGTGCCATCGCCACAACCAACGTGGCCTTGCAGCGAACTGCTCCACCTGGCTCCCGGGTGAGAGGGCCATTCTCCTCTGCACCACGGACAAGTGGGCCAACAGCCACGGCGTTCTTCAGCGCCTGCTCTGCATAGTCCACCGGCAACAAGCCTGTCGTATCTCGCGAGTAAAGACTGGTGCCAGCACCCAAGGACAGAAGTTTTTCCACGACTGACGGCCGGCACTCCCCTGCAGCGAGGTGAAGCGGTGTGGCATTGAAGTGGTTGGGGTCGGGAAAACAGATTTGGCTGCACTCAAACGCGGTCAGAGGCTTTGACAAAGCCCGGACGACGTCTGCATCTGAGTATTGCGGGTCGCAGATCATGGCATGGATGGGGTGCTGACGGGCATATTCCGCCCAGTCGTTTATCCGCGTACTCAGCACGTATCGCGACGGTGGCCCCTCGGCAATGGGGGCAGGGACTCCAACCCCGGCGGAAATGGCAATGGGAGTAGGTTGGCCAAGCTCGGTGGAATCCGCGATGGGAGTTGGTACACCAACGTCGATGGGATTCGCGACGGGAGTAGATATGCCATCCTCGAATGAGGCAGCCTCCTTGATGTCTTCCTGAGCTGCAAGAAAGAGAGAGGGGTGTGTCGTATCTTGCAGAACCCTTGCAAAGAAATGCGAACGCCCAATACGCCTGAAGCCCACACCCCGAAAGGTCTTGACTGCGATTTCCGTGCGTCGCTCGCGTTCCTCCGGAGAAGAGCCAATAGACGCTGGCCAGGCCATAGCAAATGTACAAGTAGTGGTCTTCGCCCTAGACGGATTGCGGGAGGAGGAGAGCTGGACAGGGCCGGCCGCACGATCGAGGATGTGCTGTAGCAACCATGTAGCAATACCATGCCGCCGATGAGACTGAGCAACATCCAGGTCTGTCAGAAGGAGGATGCTGCCCTTGTCAAGCTCGTGTCCCCAAACGCCGGTCCCCCGCATGTACGGATCCCGGACATAATCCTCGAGAAGGCGAGCATGGGAATCAAACATTTCAGAGAGACGGCTTGTCTCAGTCGAGGGTGCGTCCATCTCGCCATGCCAGTCGCCAGAAGCACCAAGGAGGTCCCGTAAAATGACATGCCCTTCTGCAGAGGCAACCTTTTTTGAGTTACGGGGTGCATTCGCAAGCTCCAAGGAGTATGAGAAGTCATAGATACCGTCGGCATCTAGATTCCGCCCACAACGCAGTCGGAGAGTGTAAGAGAGCCCACCCAAGACATGGGACGAGGACATCTTGTACGCCATTGTAGCCAGCAGACAGACACCTTTGACGGACCGGACCGGAGGATTAGAAGAGGATGGTGTGGTGGAAGTAGGATCCAGGAAGCTTTGGACTATCTTATCTCCAGCGGTGATTGCCGGGACTTCTAGCGCCGTTTCAAATGGAGGATCTTCAAGGACGTGCCCTGCTTGCGGATCATCGTTGCATCCAACCCCTTCTACCGCGACGGTGCCGGCGGCCGCGCGCTGATCGCGGGTAGGAAATGGCGCCGCTCGCTTCGTTAGGAAAACGCCGGGCGCTTAAACTTTCGCCGCCTCAACCCCCGCCATAGCGCCGCCGGCGGCAGAGGTTGCTCAGTCCCGCATGAAGTTTTGCCGACCAAGCGCCCTTTTCAGGGGCGTCTCGTGCGCTTGTGGAGCGTCCGCGGTCGCCCTTCGCTCGGTCGTGCGCCGAATGTGCTGACACTCTATTGCAACTGCTGACAAAACGATACACCGACGCAACGGAGGAGGCGCGTGAGGCCCTCCTGTTCTGGACTTCTGGTCATGAGCATGCGTTCTTTACGGTGTGCCGGCGGTATTGAACCCGAGCGATCGCGTGTACTCTACAATAGGTGCTCAGCTGTGCTCAGAAGCAGCATGACTTAATTCCGGCAGTAACGGCATCGGCGGCGGCCGTTACGGTTGCCTGCTAGTCCGAGGCCCAACTCGCGCTTCGCGTCTCCGGCACGACGCGCCGCGGCAGACATCGGCCTGACAAGTGCTTACCGTATCCCCGCCCTTCGTCCCAGCAGTGTATAAAATTACCAGATCGCCCTCCCTGCATGACCATAGACCTTCGATTGTCATGACACCCGGTATAGTGGCAGGAAATACTTTCGCGATCTCTTAACCCTTTCCCACGCCTCGACAGCGGGTCGTCGGCTATCGTGGGCTCTGTGAATTGTTCCTTACGGTGCTCGTCACAACATGCATCTTGGTGGCATAGTGAGGCTCTAGATATTGGGACTGTAGTGACGTAGAGTAGGGATTGGAGAGAACCTGTAAACAGAAGAGAGCCGGAACAAACGCCTACTCATACATATAGACTCTGGAAGGGGGGGTACAGCACTTGAGCTCCAGCGTTGACTGGGAAACCCAATAGTTCGAGGCAACTGTACATGGAGCGTCAGCAAGTGATCTCAGCCTACCGGCGAAGAAGCCCACTCAATGCCCAGGTCTACTCTTGTTCTTCTTGCCTCTCAACATCTCCCGCAGCATGGCTGGGCTGTCCGTCACTGCTGCTCGCGCCATGCGATTGCCGAGCTTCGGGCCTCTCCAATAGCTTAGCCCGCATTGCTAAAACAGCCTCCTGCCCCCACATCATTGATCTCCACAGGGAATGTGGACCAAGACGCGAGAAATGCTCGCGCGTGATCGCCTCGGCCTCGGCGTCGGATGCCGCGTTGCGTATGCGGGAGAGCTCCAGCGCTGGGTCGAAGTCGGGCGGAAAGTGCTCACGGATGAACGCCCTTTCACCCGGAAGCTCCTGAAGCTCCCCACCATCTGCGGACGACGGATCTGACAAGACGACCGTCGAAGCAGGTGTCTCTCGTCCATCTTGAGCAGATTCTTCGTCTCCCACTGCTGATGAAATGGATAAAAATATATTCTGTCGTCATTTGTCTTGTGGGAAGGCTCACAAGCGCTAGACTGGCGTCTGATCCCGCCGCTGCCGTTCGTAAAAGCCTTCCGGTTCTCCATGGGGCGGTGGGTGTTTCTTCGAATCGTGCAATTGAAGGTGAGAGCAGAGGCTGAAACGATCCTTTCCCATGACCAAGGCCATAACATCAGTCACCCACGCGCAGGACCGGAACACCGCATTTCTATCTCGCCCAGAGGAGGCTATCAAAGGCCCATGGCCTTACAGGGAGGGCGAGCGGGTAGTCGTATACGCTGCTGGAGTGAAGGGCGAATACGGTAAACACTCATCAGGTCGATGTCTGCCGCGGCACGCGTCGTGCCCGAGACGCGAGTTGGGCCTCGGACTACTTAGCAGGCGACCGTAGGCCGTAGTCCCAATGCTTGTGAAAGGGTCAAAGCCGATCATTTCATGATTCTTTTTCACAAGCGCTGTCGCGGGTACAAGTTTCCTTATGCGTCATGTTCATGTTTGGCAAAGGCCAGGGGCAGAACCCGTGTTCATAAGGATGGCACACGAAAGGTAATGTACACAGGAGAGAACATTCCACGGAAGACATCGACGATCATGAATAATATGGCACACAGCAGAAGCGGACTGAGGGCACGAGGCGACGTTAACTTGTCAGCGGACTACTGGCTTGGAAGTCCAGCCGTAAGTACGGCCGTGAGCTTGTCGTGCTGCGCGACGGACACGGCAAATATCTCTGCGAAAGCATCAGATCCTGTCTGATAAGGTCTTGCAGACCACGTACCGTCCAAGGCGACGCCGACGCCGTTGAGGCCCTGGTCAAAGGCAGTTTTCACGGCCTTGGCTTCCGTCTCCACCGTGCCCTGGAGACAGTTCAAAGATATTCCGAGAGCGCGTAGGTACTTGGTCCTCTCGTCGACGGCGGCGCGAGCCGCCTGCAGCGCCTTGCGCTGTTCAGAGAAGGCCGTGACATGAGTGTAGAGATTGCCGTTCAGGACCTTGAGCTGTTCGAAGATGTCCTGCAAGGGATCTGAATTCTCTTTAAGTCTCCTATCGCCGATGACTTTGGGGCGTACGCACCCTTTGACACCGATGTGCCACCCGGGACCTGGCCTGTGCCGGGGAACACAAATCCACGCCCTGAGGTAACAGGAGCGGCAGGTGCAGGAGCGGCGGAGGCGGGAGTAGAGGCGGCGCGGGGCGGCATGTACTGGACCTGGGAGCCAAACGGCCCGTGGGAAACATCCATGGTAGCGGACATGATGGGGAAGGGGCGATGATTTGTGACGATTCTACGGCCTTTATATAGTTGAAGGTGAAAACGGATCATCGCGGCCCTTGGCGGGCCGAGGCTGGTGAAACCCGTTCATCGGCATCCCACAGCCGTAAATAGGTGGCAACCTTGGGATCGCAGGTGGGAGAACAATGGAGTTCCGCCGCTGGAGGAATGTTTTCACAGCAGTGATGTGGTCAATTATGCGCCAGTCTGTGCTCATCAATGCCGATGCTACGTTGTACGTAACCGCCAGCGGCCTCGTGGGCGGGCGAACTTGACCGACAGCTGTCGGCACATCAGTGACATCATGGCAGCAGTATGAACCGGGGCACTGGCTACGGAAATATTCGACTTATATCAGCAGACGCGCGCGCGGCTTCTGAGAGAGATAGGCTGGGCTCGAACCGTACGAGAGTCGGCCCCGAAAGCCGGCATAGCCCGAAAGCCTGTATAACCGCCGAGTTCTTTGTTCGCTTTCTCGGACATTGCCGCACCTTCCAGATGACTTCTTTCAATACATGGTTGGTACGTTGTTGTGGGCACACAGGTAGCGACTATCAGAATACATTTGAGGTATTCCTTATACCGCTAACTTGAGTTGTGCTAGGTCCTCTGCCTCGCTCACTAGTAAATGCAGGTCCCCAGATAACGCAGCCTATCAAGATGCGTGCTGTAGCACCACACCGCTGCGGTAGGCGTGCTTACGCGCTTGCAACATCTCCTCCTTGCCTGGCCCAAACTGCTGTAAGTAGCAACTGAATGCCCTTCACAGCAACAGCTCGTCACGATATCGCGCCCCCAACAATCTAGATGAAATCGTCTTCGGTGCTTCCGTATGTGGACACGGTATTTCCCACTTCACGCATCCTCGGACCGCCGCCATCCGACAGCTGCCACGACCGCCGTATATAAGGGCTTATTGCTGGCGCTTCCGCCTGTGTCTCTCGTCAACGACTTCATCATGTCCGAACGCGACGTACCAATGCCAGGCCCGGGATCAGACGGCGCTGACGCGCATCCTCCTCCTCAGCCCGGCCCCCAGCCTGGCCATGGTGGCGGCGGTGCGGAAGGCGGCGGTAGCGGCGGTCCCTTTGGTACGGCGTTCGCTCCGCTCACAACTTCCTTGATCCTGACCAAGGCCCAGACGCTGGAGTCCGAACCCAACTCGAGCTCCTCAACCATAACTTGACCGTGCTGTACGGGGACATGACCGCCATCGGTCAAGAGCTAGTCGCCCTCCGGACCAGCGTCAACGCCCAGGGCGAGCTGCTCGCGGACCTCGACAAACAGGTGAAGGCCGTCGACCAGACTCTCCGTCAGGAGCTCCGCAGCCTGGAAGTCGTTGTCCGCACCGGCTTCGACGACCTCATCAAGCGCATCACCGGTACGATCTTCCTGTTGTAACCCATCAATGAAGCGCCAGCCCTCATTTGTTCTTTGTTACAGCGCATAGCGAAGCGCAGAAAGCGCACGCCGATGACCTCGCCGCCACGTTCTTGCGGGCGATGAAGTACGCAGCCGATGTCGCGGCGAAGAGGGTGCCCCCCTACGACGACAAGGGCAAGGGCAAGGAGAACTAGGCGGCGGTGTTTTTTCTCCTGGCCGAGAATTCCGGTTGCGCTGCTCTCGGTGTACTATAGCAGTTCTCGCATTGGACTTGTTGTTGCTGTATCTTTTCTTGAATAGTACGCAGGAGCATGCCTTACGCTCCAAAGGTGATTGCTGCTCGCTCAAAATACTGAGTAACATCTCAACTTTGATTATGCAAAAATTCCGTGTTTCGGCGCTCAGCACAAATTCGGCATCAAGCGATGGCGCTCGCGTCGCCGACCAAGGAATCCATCATCAGGGGCGCTGATCGCCCCCGATCTGCAACCCTTATGCCGGTTGTAGAGGGTTCAATCAAACGCCCTGGGAAGCCTTGCCTTTTTAGGAGGCGGCAGTGAAGGGAGATTGTGTTATCGCTGTTGCGAAGACGCGGAACTCCTACGGCTTCTCGGCTAGACGGCTTGATAGTTGAGCCTTCGCCTTAAGGTGCCTGAAACGCCGCGGCGTGAGGGCCGAGAAGCGTTTGGCAGCCGCCGTCGACACGGTCGCAGTGCTTACAAGTAGTCAGCTGGCTAACCGGCTCCAATGACGCCCGGCGATGTGGCGCCGACGGAGCGCCGAGCAGCCTTGCTGCAACTTGCAGGACAGGTGCCGACGGCCTGCAGGAGCCACTGTGACACGGGGTGGTCCACCAACTCCTTCTGGAACCAGCAGCGGCTTCCAATCGGCATTAACGAACACATGGCCAATAGCCACCGTCAGGCCGGCAACCACCGGCCATTGCAGCCCCATCGCAGCGCCGACTTGCCTCCTCTTCGCCCCCACTCCCCATGGCGCCGGTGCATATTCAAATCTCCGATCGCAATCCACTTTCGGATTATACCAGGGCTGTCTCTCTGCTCTTGCAGCTGCAGGGCAAGGGCGAGGCCAATCTAAACTCTATCATTAGCGTTCTGCAAAAATTCTCCCCTCTTCCAGATGGCCAGGTGCTTCGACCTCGTGCACCCGACTTTCCTCAACGCGACGTGTTGGAGAGAGACGTTCGGACGGCCATCGAACTCATGGACGCTAAGACCACGGACTGGAAGGTATGTTGAAGTTTGCCTGGCCTTGTTCCTCAACCACATACGCATTGCGAATTCAGACTGCCGCAAGAACGTTCCCGGTCATTATAACGCTTTATGAGCTGTATAGCACGCGCGTGGACGCCATTTCGGCCTACAATATGAGAGCCCCGCCCATTCCAGGCGCGCATTACCCCCCTGCTCCTATCGCTGGCAATGTGCCGGACGAGGACGTATATCGTGCAAGTGATCGCCTGAGGCTACTTCGCCCGATCGACGACATCATTGGGTTTTATTACGGTGCATTACGCAACGGCACTCTGCAGGACCCGCTCCTCACATACGTAGTCAACTTTGTCTACCAGATTGTCTCGCACTACGGTCCTGAACGAGAGTGCGTCCAACATAAGATCTATATCTCGGTCCATCTCATATATCATGTTTTCAGGCTCAGTCTGCAGACGACGTCGGACTTTTTCTTGGGTCTGCGCCGCGAAGCGTCCGGCAGCATCTACGCCTTCGTCTTGCTGTCCACGGGGTACGACTTTCCGCCAGACGTCATCAGCCCTGCCGACGTCTTGGGTTGGGCAGAGAGCAGCGTCGCTGGGCTCGTGGGATCAGTTCAACAAGGGCATTTCGTAGAACAGTTGTTCTCTGGGCAGAAATTCAACCGTCAGACGTACGCTGCGCTAAACCCGCTAACGCGCCATGCCCTCCGATGCCCGTACGACATCTGGCCGGCGCTCACCGGGTGCTGCATCGCGTGTGGCCGGACTGCGGCTCGGTTCTCTTGCACTCGTTGCAGACGTATCCTCTACTGCGGTCGGGACTGTCAGCTTGCGTGAGTCTGCTATTCCACCTGTCGTATGTGTACCTGCTGACGCAGTTAGTCACTGGTCTGGCTCGCACAAGACCGCGTGCGCGATGTACCGCTTTCTATCGAATTGATCTGCCCCATCTGACGTGCTGTTCTGAGTTCTGTTTGTATTGCTGTCATATTTGCTTCTGTCTACATAGTTGGATTCAATGATTTTGTTCGAACAAAGGGTGTGTAAGACACGGTTGAGGCAGCAGCCTGAACTTCTCAACGGCCTACCCCCGAACGCGGCGTTCGCCGGACACGGCACTCGCCGAACGCGGCAATCGCCGATTACGGAGATCGCTGACAGATGCAATTGCCGATTCGGCGTCCTCAGCCCCGGAAGCAGGCGGCGCTTTCATTGGGAATAACGGCTGTATATCCGAGTATGGCGATGTCAAAACCTATCGCCGCCGCCGATCAGAATCGTATACGCCTGCATCATGGAATCACGCCGCGTGCGACGATGGCTGGGGTCACAAGGTTGCAGCTTGCTATCTGGACGAGATCTGCCTTCTTCGAAGGTTTGCAGCAGGGCGCGCTAGCAGTATGTCTTGACTCGTGTAGAAGTATATAACCTTATCCAAAACCCTGACCATCTACAGCGTCTTCCTTGGCTCCCAACGTACGCTCTGCCTTTGCTGCATGAGGCAAAACAAGTAATGGCTTCCAGGGCCAGAGATATGCCATCTCTTCAACTATCCCACGTGCGCCGGCGATCTGCGACGATAAAGGTTTGTGTCGTCTTTAGCGCTTCTCCACGACTAATGCAGAGGGACGTCGCGTTCTCTTACTCAGGGAGGTATATCTGCGGATTATATCTGCGATTTCTGCAATCGTCCTTGTGAGGAAGCCTACCGGTACGGCGCCATGGTCAATCTCCACTCTTACGGGATATATTAAACGCGTGACAGACTGCGATGTTGGCACGAATTTTGCCTTCAATGCATCTGGCGCCATTTTGAGGCCGCTCACAAGCGCTACCAGCGCCACCATCCGTCCTGGGATGGGAAGTACATCGATCCCTCCCTTTGGACATACCGCATCGGTCCGGTATACGATTGTCCCTGTTGCACCGGCGTGGAGGAAGTCGACCGCGCGCCTCGTCTGATTTTCTGCAAGCGCGGGCGGCGTCCTCAGGATCATTCAGCTTGGGAGCGGTTTTTCGGCCCTGGCGAAGATGTTCTATAACACCTTTTGCGCGTTTGCCAGGCTAGTTCCGCTCGCATTGCAAGCGCAACTCCAATGTATAATAGGGTTCTCGGTTCTCGGTTCTGGCAATGTGGAGTCTGATGGGGACCATTGCGACGTAGTGATGAATTACCTACGCAGTAATGACATTTCATTCATTCTTGACAGTTATTTTCGACACAGCGTTGCATTAGCCGACCAGTGGGAGACATCAATCTACGCGGCCTTTTGCTGGTGCTGCGTGGTGTTTGGCGCCCAGATCCCCTGCTTTGCCACCTTCCACGACATTGTCCGCACTCTTCCCCCCTGTGCACTCTCCGCTTTGTTGCTACGCTCATGGCGCCCCAGCCGCGATCTTATGGTGAAATTGCCGATGCAATTTTGCCGTCTATTGTGTTGAGTGTACGTGTGCGCGACCTGCTCAGTGCGGCTGTCGGCGATTTTGTCGCACTTGAACCGCGGGAGCACCAGGCATTCTTTAAGGAGCAGATGGGCCGGGTCTGGGATTCGCCAATCGACTGGAAGGCCAAACCGCAAGGGACGCAGTTCGCCGATCAATGGTCGGTACGTAGCCGTGGTCCTATCCGCGTCCGCGCTTGGCCAAGATGTCTGTTCTCACTCAATCTGCCTAGGCATTGAAGCGGTTTTTCAAAGAGCAGGGGCGTATGAGAGGGAGTGCTGCTGTGCCCGATAGTACCAGTGCCAGGAGGTGGACAGCTCTGCGCGTGTGTGGGGTGGTTTATCGCGAAGGCATAGACCGCATGATATTCGTAGCAACAGGAATGAGGCCAGGCGATCGCCGCGGATATCTAGGACAGCGCTCTCGGTGCCGGACGGTGTATTTCTGGAAGCTTCCCCGTCAGGACAGACAGCAAATGATGGAGATAGCTCGTCGATGGAATAGGAGTGGGCCTCCAGCGGCGCAGAAGATGAAGTGCGTCTTCAGTGCGTGGGGTTGGCGAACAGAGAAAGTTAACCTCCTCTTCAGAAATTTCAGCCGCAAGTTCCGAACGTACATACGACAGGTTCATGTGACAGCACTGCGGGACTTCGGGCAGCACGTCGTGACGATCATCGTACCGGAGGTGGGTATGTTCAATCCCCCGCGGGTGTGAGTGGCTTAAGTTCTGTTTCGCCAAATTGACCGCGCCTAATTTCTTGAATGACCGGCCCAGGTATGACTTCTTTCAAGAGTTTGGGCTCATGAAACAGCCGTTGGTGAAAGAAGTGGAAATGACCGAGACGTTGAAGTCGCTCTTTGGCGTGGTGAACCGGGCTACAGGTAGGGGTTTCAACTATCAATCGCAGTCTGCTCCTTTCTCCGTATCTAACGTGTGGTTGTCAGGTCAACTGGACGAAGACGCATATCCGGCAATGCTACAAGCGAAGTCTCGCTTGAAACGGAAAATCACCTATCGTATACAGCCCCAGGAGCATTTTGTTGGTCGAGACGAGCTTCGCCTGGATTCTGCTCTTTGGGATGAAGAGGTGTTTTATAAGGAGGCGATCCCTATGGTTTACAGGATTGTGACTACCGCACATGGTGAGACAAAAGCAGTTTGGTGCATCATCACAGAGGTCTTCTTACACACTGGGCAGCTAATATCTCGAAATACCGCGACCTTGATCCTGTTTGGACTGACTGGGAGGTCATGGTCGACGACCAATTCCGTCTGGAGGGCATTCCGATGCAACTCCCCACTACGCTCGGCAGAGATAAGTGCTTCCAATACTTGCGGCACTGGTTCAACTTGGGACGCCTGAAGTTCAGAAAGTGGCGGAGAAAGAATAGCATGCTGATGGATCCTGTGGACATGAGTGAACGTTGGTGGATAGACTCCTATCGGGCTTCTGACGAGAATGATGGTGATGCAGCCACTGAGTCTTTGGACGCGCCTCCCGGAGTGGTGGCAGCTATGAATCAGTTGCCGCCGGTACCCTCTCAGATGGAGAGCTGTGGCCACGGCCGCGCTCAGAGCGTCTCTCCGTATGGCAGCGCGGGAGCGCAAACATATCGTGTTCACGGCGATGCTCTGATAGACGACGAATCCCTGGAGTGGATGGAAGTACCACCGGTTTCAGATCCCGACGATCTCCAACTGTTGGCACGCGTCGCTACGCCCCAGCTTGACTTTGGCGAGGCTGTGGACCACGAATGGAGTGCGCCAGCCGCTGTCCCCACAAATCCCGAGGCCATGGCGCAGTGGTGTCTGCATCATCTAGAAGGCCTTCACAGCATCTCTGTGCGAATTCCCCGGCATCTCAAAAGAGGAATCTGCAAGTTAGCTGAGCTACCGGTTCGTCGCGTACATGCTTTGCAGTCTAAAACACCTGCTGATGCGGCGTAGCTTGTGCCGAATGGCTTCTTTTCTCTGAGGGCAGCCTCGAAATATATTTCTATTCCAGACTGGCTGCGCTGGAGCTTGGTGAACACCCCTGTTAAGGAACGACATAAAACTGAAGACCTACTGCGTTTCATGGAGAAGCACCCGTGGACTTTCCAGTACGGTGGTCAAGTGCGGTTCTCCGGCTTTGATATGGCTTGGTGTTTTGCTTTGGGCTCTGTGCTCTACCTGGAGGCTCATTCCACGAGCCTCGGCGCTCTTGATGATGAAGACGGCGCCCCTTCGCATAACCCACTCAATGCCAGCTCATTAAGTTCTCTCTTCCAAGACTTTGAGGCAGCATTAGACTCCTTGACCGATGAGTACAGTTATCCTGGGTGCCCTCCTTCCACGAAGTATTCGGTGGTGACAAGCAGATCTCTTTACCTAGCCTATCTGCTGCAGACGGCGGACAGCACTCTCATCGAACTTCTACGGTTGACTACTATGATGGTGAGTCGCTAGCGCGACGCGTCCAGATATATTCAACTCATACAATCAGGGTGATGGGGAGCGGGACCGGTCTGTCTCCATCATTTCTTACCAATGCAAGGACAAAACCTGGATGTCGGAATCTGATGGTATTCCGTCCTGGCACTGGCCAAGATGCGGGCTTCCCAACGGATCGCATCTGAATGCAGCTCTCGGTATGCAGATACGTCAGTGGTTAAGCAGACAGGATCTGCTGGTCGACTTGGCTACAAGCTCCGCGAGGACGCGAGAGACTGGCCTTTCGATCATGCTGAAAGCAGCCCTGATTTATTGCGACTTGCATAATCTGCAGACCCAAACTTGGGACCAACCAGGAGCAGAACAACTGCGCACGTCCAGTGTTCTAGGCGAAGTGGATGCGCTGCATGATGCTTTGGTTAACTGGGCCAGTTTGGAAGTGGAGAAGCTGAGGCCCTACATCGAGATAAATGGGCAGGAGGACGAGGACAACGAGGACGTCACCCAGATGCTCAGTATACCCCCGGTCAGTGACATCGACAACCAGGGCGCTCCTGTTCATCGCAGGTTTCACCCTCTATCCACTCCACCGCCTTCCGACTTGGCTGGACCGTTCCAAGACATTGAACTGGACGACCTAGGTGTACGGGAGGCAGTGGGAGACTTCAGGGCCGACCTCGAAGCAGAGCCGCTTTCTGCCGCGCAGGTTTACAGCAGACGCGGTCTGGAACAGATAGCGGATGAGCCCGAGCAGAGAAGGATGAATAGGGAAAAGCGCGCACTCCGCGATCGCCGTACCGCCGTTGCACCTCCGGCTTCGCGCCGGGCGGCGCCTGCCCGGCGACCCAGTGCGACGCACTATTGGGATGACGATGCCGATGGAGAGACCGCCGGGCAGCCACCGGCGCCGTCCGAAGTCCCGGTCAGGCGGGGTCGTGGCCCACAGCATCCCAGAGCACCGAGAATCCGCCAGAACGCTACCGGATCGGATCTGCAGATGCTGGCCAGCGCTCCGTCTGCCGTGGGAGTTGCTTCTCGTAAGCGCAAGCGCACTGCCGCCAGACCTGAGGCTCGTAAGCCGAAGGGGAAGGGCAGTGAGGGCCAGGTAGCTGTGAAGAGTAAGTCGAAGGGCCGGCGCAATGCCGGTAAAGCGAGCGCGTCCAAACCTGCGGCAAGGCGGCGCGGCGGCGCCCCAATAATGGACCCAGACGAAGCTTCCAATATCAAGGACGGCTCCAGCGAGTCAGACGAAGAGATGCCGTCGCGTATCACAAGGGTCCGATCGTCAGCCAGGCTCCAGGCCCGTACCAAGCGTCGGCGACTGTCTGGTGATGTTCGCGGCGATTCTAGCGATACAGCATCGCCGCCGCCAGTCCCGGCGGGGACCGGCTCTCCTCCGGCGATTGATAGGCGCCGCGCTCGTTCAAGGGCAGACCGCAGCGCCGAGGCTATGTCTGTCTACTTCGCCGCTGATGCCACCACCACAAGCGGGGTTGAGAGCGACGAACTCGAGCTAGCGCGATCACCCATGCCGCACCAGAGGGAACGCCTCCTGTTCGTGGCGCCCGGGGGAGAGGGACTGAAGTCAGTTGCACCGGCACGCCCCAAGCCTCGACCAGTCAGGCGACGGTAGCTGAGACAAGCAGATGCGATTGGACATATGTTCATTCAAATTTTCATTCCACATGTTACATATTCAGATAGCTTGAAACTGCCAAGCACGGTGCAAAGCAGAAGCAGCCGAAATAAACGAGGATCATGCCTCAGCAAGCGTGTTGGGGATGGGGGGAACTGGAAATGGAACCTCTGCCTCCTCTAACCCGGTTGCTGCCTCATACCGACGCTGGGCGACGGTGAGTAGGCGTCGGCGGTCCTGCTGTAGGCCAACGAAGGCGTCCTCCTCATCTTGATGTACATCTTCTACTCCTCGTCCGACTTCGTACAACGCCTCCCTCAACCGCTGCAGACGCTGAAGAACATGGCCCAGATCGGCCAGAAGAGCCTCTGCTTCAGCTCCCTGCGAAGATAATAGTTTCATCAGCGAAGTCTATACATCTGGACACACGATGATAAAAGCGTTACATGGGAGACAGTCTCGCGACCGACGTGGTGTCCGACTGTGCGGATGATCCATTGGGAGAGATCGAAAGTGGGCTCTGCAGCCTGTCGGTCGATTATGTGAGCAGATGCCAGCCAGTTTCTAGGGTGCTGAAGCCACCACTGAGGAAAACGAGTAGTGTCGCAAGGTGGCGCACGGCCGTTCGTGGGCAGCAGCACATGCCGCGCCATGTCAGGAAGCAGGACGAGGTCTGCCCTTTCGCGGCTCTCGTAGAACTGGAGCACGCCGATAATCAAGAGAGACTTCGGCGGGAGGAGACCGGTCTGCAGGCGCACTCGTCCGACAACGGCGAGCAGCAACACCTATGCCAACGTTCAAAGGCGTGACGCTACGTAGGTCAAGTTATCTAAAACTTACGAGCTCGGAAAAGATGGGAGTCATGACGGCCTCCACGACGGTATCCAGGTCCGCGGTCAGGAAAGGATCGAAGTAAAGAATCTCGTCTGCGAAGCGACGTTCCATGGCTCTGAAAAACCCTTCTTGTGGATATTGAATTTCGTCTGAGGAGGCGGCCATGATGGGGGTTTGCTGGGAACCTCCGGGTTGGTTCCTCGAGATCTTGGGCAATCAGCAGCGTGAGAGATCAGCCGGCGATCGGCCGGCTATATAACAAGGGATCGTCCGCATTCTTGCTTGCTCAATCAAGATGTCTTCATCTCCTTCCGATTACGGCGGCGACGGCGAACTTGACTCCGATGCAGATTCTTGGCCCCACGAGGACAATAGAATTGAACGATTTCTGACGGAAGACCGCCTGTCAAATCTCCTTAAGACTGCTGGCCCTCTCATGAATGCCCCCTTGGGCCGAGGCTTCGATAGGTCTCTATTTGCTGAAGGGCTCCGCTTTGAGGCGGTACGTCCACCCCGTCCCACCCCCATCAGGAGTCGTGCATCATGCTCAACCTCGTGCAGTCGCTTGCGGCCGCCATCAGCGGGGTTTTGGCTGTCCGGGGAGAGCCCTTCTTCGCCATCCCTGAAGACAGTTCTCCTAGAGACTCTGTCCAGGCATCTCTACAGCGGTTCGCATTCTCCGCCCCAGATAGCGGTCATGATAGCCTTGCAGAGACATTTAGAGCGGGCAATTTCACATCTGAGCGCATCCACGCGAACTATTTGGGGCCGCGCCATATCTGGCAGCAAAAGGCCGCAGACTTGCTTCGCGCTGTTCTCAGAGACGACGCCAGCGCAGCTCAGACCATCTGGTGGCGTTCGGAAACTCTCGCAAGCCTATTCAACAGCTCGGTTGCAGTGTCCGGTAGAGCGGCTCACATTTATCTCACCTGCGCTGTACGTTTCATCTATATCTAGCTCACGCTCCAGTCACACCTCACGAGGGTTTGGTTTATTAGCCTTTCCAGGATTTTAACGGGGAACAACTCGCAGAAGTAGCGACTGCTGTAGAGACTGCGCTGGGCCAGATCAAGCGGCTACGAGAAGATCTCGCCAATAGCCGTCGCGATCTACAGCTGCATCTCGCGGATAGAGAGTACCAGCTGGCTGCCACGTATGCTACCTTATACGAAGGACCGCCGGGAAGTATAGCAGAGAAACTTGACAAGCTGATGGATGGTCTTGACATTCCCGGCGATAGGGCCCAGATCAAGTCCCTGATGCAGGCGTGGAGGGACTAGCTAAGCCCATGGCGCTGATGGTTTAGAAGTCCTTATCTGAAACCATCGCCGGTTAGCACTTCCATCGAGGCATCGTGTGAAGATCAAATTCCAAGTAGAAATGGTCCGTTCGTGTATTATAGTTCCTTGCCTTAGCCCTCTATACCTTCGCGCGATCTAAGGAACATGCCGCGTCGCTATTCGCCATCTGAGCAAGAGTGGATCGTATACGTCTCCCGCCATAACGGTTTAGTGCAAG